TATTTTATAACATAATATTGTCTCTAAATTATTATATAATGTTTACTTTAGTTGAAAAAACTTTTAATTTTGTTTTTTTTCATGTTATTTTGGGCTCAGAAGAAGAAATACAATCATTTTATTTGATACTTTGTTGAATATTATGTTTTTAGCCGAATTAAAGATTGATAACTAAATACGCAATTATTTTATTTAGTTTAATATGTAATTTACATAAAAATAACCGGTTTTTTTATAAGTGTCCAGTTTACTGGCCAGTGATTTCACATGAATATTGGTGATTTTAGTGATGCAGAACGGTCAATGGTCAGTATACTGACCACTAGTTTTTTTGTATTTTCTCGTAAAATATCTAGTTTCTGATAATTTTATTAATACATGTTGTTATAAATAACGCTATAGAATATATATCCACTTAGAAATATAGCGAATTCAAATAAAAGTTAGGGTGTGCGTTAAAGGGTTAACTGTTATAATTTTCAATTTAAAGTCTCCTGAAAGTCTATTTATTTATAGTGCTTTTGTATAGTTTATTTTGCTCTGACCAGGGTATAGTCGCGTGATCATATCCAGTTTGTTACGGGAACAACGTTCCCAATGAAGATGCATCGCTTTTAAATTGATAAGAGATGTATTGTTGTTGGACGAGATATTTATGGTTTTAAGTTTCTGGTGTAGAATTAATAGCCTTTTATTTACAGTGTTGTGTAGCTAATTATTACTGATGCAAATTTATGTTTTTTTAACGGCTTCTTAGCTTGGTGTTCAAAGTCAAAATTTATTTATTTGTATAGATAGACTACTAAAATAGTATTTGCAAATTGTCAAATATTTTGCTCTTAAGGCTACAGTCTCATAATCTGTTCTGGCACACAATTGGAGTAGGTTTGAATCCTTATAAGTTCAAGTGTTAATGTGATGAAAGAGAGCTTTTAATACAGGCAGTATGAACAAATTAATTTATGCATAAGTAGGTACCTATTTTGTTTTATTTTCTTTGCATAATAATGTTTCAATAATCTTTAAAAACGACCAGTTTTGGCAAACAGTTCGCAATTTTTCACGGTTTCTCAGTTGCAGTGGCTATGTTCATATTTTATATTGCAAAAAATCTTTCGATTTCCATAACACCAACAAAATCTACTTAAAGCTGCCTAATCTCACCTCTCCATCTCCCTTTATACCACAATACGATCACCAAACTGATACACAGGAATGTAGCTGGGTGACATATACATAAAATACGCGGTAGATATGTGTAATGGTGAGTGGTTTGGCGTCTGTCTGTCACATTACAATGGGCGCGGCAATCACGGGCCGAATGCGTTTATTGAAATCTCGGCAGTGTTGTACAGAGTAGGCCAATTTACAGAGAGTACTAAGGTAGTTTTAGGAACATAATATGATTAAAGAATTTATTAATAAGTTATGCCAGTTACCGTCAAGAGTTAAAATTCATACAGCCAAAAAATATTTTGCAACATAATTTTAAAACCTATCATTTGTTTTATCATTGTCTTACATGAGTAGTACTGCGCAAAGAAAAGAAGCAAGTGAGCGAAATAGGAAATAAAACATCTGTGAAAAATGCTGTAGACTTAGTTCCAATAAAAAGTGGTAATTTGGTAAATATAGTACTTATAGCAATGTGATGACTGTCATCATCATCAATCAAGAATAAAGCTTAAATCACTAGATACACAAACATTTCAGTGTCAAATTCGGTTATATTATTTACAAAATTGCCAGTTGCCTGGTACTGCCGCAGTCTGTATACTACCTAGATTAGATTATAAAAACTGAACAAAACTCAACTACTCTGTACATCAAGATGATTGTCACCGATAGAGGGCGGTAGTGCATAAACTTTTACGACGCGCATCCGACCCTCATGTCCTCATTGCGGCGAGTCGATTGAGGATCTCTAATCGAATCGGGAGGAAGAGGTTTTATGAGTGACTCGAAGACAGGTTATTGGAAAAATTCATTGATTAAATTGAGATGCATAACCAATCGTCCGCATAGATTCCGCGAAAGATTAAAGAAATTCCAAAAGCTTAAAAGTTTCAGGAGCGTCAATACGTTTTTTTTTGCTTCTTACTTCTTTTTTAAATAGTTTTTTTTTTAATGAAGAGTATTTACTTTTGTTAAAGGTTGCCTTAAAATCGCCTCTGAGACATATTTAAAACATTATTTCATTGATTAACTCTCAATGTGACCTACATTTTCTTCTCAAATTTTAGGATGGTCGCTTGAACAATGAACATACGCACTTGACTTACACCCTGTATAAGCCCTGTTTTAAACCTGCGAGAGGCGTCTACTATTAATGAAGTTTAGACCAAGTAAAAGTCTAACCTTAAAATCACCAAGCACGGAGGCAACCACTATGAAATAATATGAACGAAGGGTGTTTTAAAATCTTAATTATAATGAATTGACCTTCACAAAAGGCTTGATGAATATCCCACCTAACGAGGCCTGAAGCCAATCCTTTCGGACGCCAACAACTCGTGAAAGGGTAAGATTGATGGCTGCCATTTTGTTTTTTGCAGCGGCTTTTTAAATACTAGCGAAATTAATTATGCGACGATGTTTCTGGGTCGTTTGGTTTTGGATATCGAAGAGAGGAAATGGGACTCTTTAAAAATCAAGTGACAGCTAAAATTTTTGCACTTTAAAAAGACAACATGGTTCAGCCCTTAACAGATTTAGCTTTAAACTAAATAAAATATCACGCTCGAATCCCATCGCTCTTAGCTTACTATTCTAGACATCATGGTGTTTGTAAGAATGTAATTAAACTAATTAACTGAAATGTTCACCACAAATTCACAGATCTTCATTGAAGTACCCAACGGGAATCGAACCAGTCACCGCTGCTGGTATGTTTGATTGAGATATGCAGTCTGATATTTATCCCTAGTATCTGTAAGCAATACATAAAATTCGTACATAAGAAGTAGAATATTCTTACATAATTTTCTCATTTATTGCCATTCCATAGAGCGCTAATAAACTTCCGATCCAAGATTTATATTAAAATTCGAAGGGAATAGCTTTGAATGAAGATTTTCATAGGATACATTAAAATCTGTTTCCACTGCTTCGCCTTTGAGGCGTTTGGTCCAAGAAGTAAGCGAGAACAGGTATACTAAAGGTTTAAAAAAAACCTTAATATGACAAATAATTGTACAAATCCGTTGTCTGGTACCCATGGTACAAGATTTGCTAAGTTCGTCGTTCGTTTAGTCCCACTAGATGAGTGTAAAATGTCCAAGGATAATTTGTAAAGAACTACATATAACATTGTGTTCATACTATGAAAACCACTGCAATTTGACGTAAAATTTTAATTATTTTTATCGTGATCCGTTTGCTCGTTTGCCTCCTATCACATAAAAAAAAAAATATCTGTAAATAAAATAGTATTTTCACACTTGCGACACACTGTGGCATCTTAAACCGATATAAATGTATAGTCTGATAAGCTAACGTCTCTACCTATCCTATGATACGACTGAAACCATACCTGCTGACTAATTTATCTATACTACTGTTCCTAGAAATTACACAAGCTGAAGAGAATTTTGTTGATTACATTCGATTCATCAATAATGACGGTAGTTTCTTATAACATAGACCACTCGCCTAGTCCACTGGTACGTCAATAACAAGCCCATAAAGCGTTTTTACTGCCTTTGTTCAAGCAAATGTATGTACGCTCTGACTTTTTAAACAATCACAGTATTTTTCTTTGCCCCGATAATAACTTGAGATGTTTTGAATGGACCCAAAAATAATTCGAATCCGATTTTATTTTCGTGGAGTTTTCTTGGAGTTTATTCTGCTAATGGACGATATGTCGACGTATATTATTCTAGTGTTCTGTTTTCAGTGTGAATTTTATTTTCTTCTATCACAATGCTTGAAATGGACTTCCAACAGCTAAACACATTTACGAGAGCTATGCATTATTATACGTATAAACAGGCAAGTTTTTCTGTTAAGATTCACGCTATTTCTTGAAATAAACTTACAGAATGTATTGTGAAACAATAGAAACCATTTTGTATGCTTTTGTTTACTTAAAAAAAATTAATACAGGTATCTATCATAGCATTAGGTCGTGTAAAAGTGCTCTTTGGGAGATCCCAAAAAATCGTAAAAAGCTCTCAAAATCGTATATTTTTTAAGGTAAGCTTACCTTCACAAAATATACGATTCTGATTTAGATTTTAAGCGATTTCCTTGGGGGAGGCCTTTGTCCAGCAGTGGACGTCATTTAGCTGAAATGATCGAAACTACAAGTTTTTAAAGAGACTTTGTAAAACTGCTACGATCTAAGCATAGGCGCAGACAAAAATGATTTAATTTGACTATCAAAAGTTCAAAACTAAACGTGTAAACTAACACTCAGGCCATTTACCTCATCAAGTGGGTCATTCCTCCTGCAATTTGTCAAATCCTGGAAATGGGGCACAGTGAGGCATTACCCTAATTGCCAAATTAGGTACTACCCACGCGGAATTGAGAACTCTAGCTCTGTAGAAGTAAGGATTACTAGAGTAGCCATTCTGAAATTTTAACCATTTTTTTACGGGTGATCAATTTAAAATTAATAAAAACATGCGTGTAAGTAGTAGGTAATTAGCGTTTAGTTGTGATGGGACTTGCGCTCTGCTGCGACATTTGTTGGAGTAAATTATACTTTTCTTTTATTCTTTATTTTTTTTTAAGAAAATATTTAAAATCATCTACAGATTAGTTATCACATACCACGAAATTACAGCATTCAACAAACAATACTTTTTCATGGTATGCAGAAAAACTTTGTTTTGAATGGAATCAGAAAATTATTAATATTTTCTACATCCCATTCAAAACAAAGTTTTTAACAAAATTACTTTTTACAAACAATGATGCCAGTTCCATTTCTTCTTTGCTCTACCGCCACTTATCCCAAACCTGCACACTTCAACACCAGTCTCACGCGCATCCCAGCTCCGTCCACACAATGACTCCCTACTATCTCCTAACTCTCCTCCTAACATTGTCAGCCATCGAAGCCCACACCAACCAAACTTCTTGCAATGGCTTCGAATCCAACTTCGCCATGAAAGCAGTGGTCGGCCCGTGGTATGTGGTGGCCATTATACCGGAGAAATTGTACCCGGATAAGCCTGTGACGTGTTATATCGTGGAATTCAGCGAGATTGATGAGGTAAGAGTTTACAGAATTGTAGAATACCATTGTAACAGAGTTTCCTAAACTTTTAAGGGGTTATCTTGAAGTAGTTTTTCTGTTTTTCCTAAATAAATTATTCGGTCGTTGTGGAAATCCTTGGGGCAGGCCAGGTCCAGCAGTCGACGTCATTTGGCTGAAACGAAACAACAAAATGTATTCTTCCAACTGTCACACCTAAAACCTAGCCCCAATCTTAGATTAAGAGTAGGCGCACACTGTTGATTTTTCGTCGGCCGATAGTTTAGTCGGGCAGTTGATCAGTATGGGCATGCATGGGAGTGCGCACACTACGCCGATTCGATTTAGCCGATTCTTCATACAATTTAAAATCGGGCACAACTATCGGCCAACTAAAAATCAACGGTGTGCGCCTACTCTTAACTAAGACTATTAAAATATATTAAACATATTTAAATAAGTACAAAGATAACGTAGAGGATCGTAATCGTGCATAGGTATAACATAAAAATTTCCCATGAGAATGTTTATGAACACGTCCATTATTTTTATTGACATTTATATTTATGTATTTCGTTATTTTGCATTAGGGCACCTTCAGAAGGCATCTTTATGCATAGCCACCTAACTCATTACTAAGCATTTAATTGTCTGTATTTCCTCAACTTTCAGGCTGGTCTCCGCTGGCTGGTGAACAAGACGGTCCACCACCGCAAGAACTTAACCGACATCACCGGTACCATCATCAGGCAGCGGTACTACGCGGAGCACCCCTTCGACGTGTGGTCCAAGGCTGCTGGCACCAACGGCTGCTTCCAGCAAGTGCTGTCTTTGGACGCTGACAACAGTGATATGAGTGAGCATATTATCTTTAAAAATGTATGAATTATCGTCATTATCAGTAGGCTATAAATTGAGTATAGGTACATATCCACTCTTGGGCATGTCAAAAGTCTCCCAATACGCGCCATTTTTACTTGTCTTCAGCTTGACCTATCCAGCTTCTGCCAGCGACTTTTCACAAATCATCACTCCATCTAGCTAGGGGGAGTCCTTCACTACGTTTGCTGAAACCTCTACTATCGATATTGCGTTAAAAATTGTTTGTCCAGCAGTAGACTGTGGTTAATGATGATCAAAGCAATGCTCTTGGTTCTTCTAAATTTTGAGTCTTTTGAGATTCATTTGTGTTTGTATCAATTGGCCGCTTGTAATAAATATTCTAGAAATTGTCACTTATGTTCCCTTTTGAAAAGTACATAATGTGTGTGTGTGTGTATTTATTACACTTATTCCAGCAAAAGCCCTGACACAAGAGGCGGCAATGCAGTTACACATCATAGACACCGATGACGGGTCTGGACCATACCTCGTGCAAATGCTCTGGGGCAGGATGATTTCGGCTGTCATCTACCGAAAACATAAAGTGAGTTCAATAGAAACAAACTGTTGCTTTTGGCGATATCGTGGTTCTCAAAACCAAAAAGCCTAGGCGCAGACCACCGATTTTTTGTCTGCCGATAGTTTAGTCAGGCAGTTAATCAGTATGGGCATGTAAGGAAGTGCGCACATTACACCGATTGATTCTTCATACAAATTAGAATCGGGCCCAACTATTGGCCGACTAAAAATCGGTGGCCTAGGCTAAGACAGTCGCTTAGTTTTTGGACTTTGACTTTTATCATCAACGTCAAGTTAAAAAGTGGAACAACTTGCCTTCACCGATGCTAGAACCAAAGCCATTGTTCAAAACAAAGCATAAGTTTCCACTTAGGGCCCTAGCCCATGGTGACTTTTTGTAGCGATGCAGTCGCGCTGCTGTAGCGCGTTATTAGCGCGTTGGCATCACTTCTGTAGTGCGTTCCAAATGCGACTAACGCGCGTTAGTAGCGAAGCTGTCGCCGTGGGCGAGGGTCTTTAGTAGGAAACACACCCTTGGGTCAATCATTAGATAACTATTGTTTTATGTGGTGGAGAAAATTAATGTGATAATGAGTCCGCATACTTTTAAATGCATACCCAATCTCACTGAAATGAGTCAGAGATGTTGAAATCAATCGTAACGTTCTTATACAATTCGATGCTTATCAAAAACACCTAATAATTTTTCAGGGAGTAACCCAAGACCAGCTAAGGCCAATATTCGAGCTGATGAGCAAGTTACGGGGTCCTCAACGGCTTCCAAGGATGTGCGAGAAATACCAGAAGGAACCGTTGATGTTTGTTTAGAAGTTTATTTTTTTCAGGAGTTCGTAAACATTTTGAAATAAAATAATATGTTAATGTACGTGTTGTTATGAATATTGCCTAAAATCTGTCATGATTTTGCCTTCTAACTACGACTTTCTGAAAATCAGCTTGCCTCCTCCTTGAATACGTTAGATATTGTAATATTATTTTTACATTTGCGCGCGTCGTCCTCTCTTTAACATTGTGCCACGTTATTTCCAGTAATTTTATTTTGCAATATAAAATTTAAAAAAAATAAGAGTGAGATGCACAATCTTACTTTGAGTCAAAAATTTATCAAACTCCATACAAAAAACACCGGTTATTGTTATAGTTACGGTTAAAGTAAGTTCGTGCTACTTAGCCTAAGCGTTTCATCGCAAAGCGTAATCCTATAACTGTACGAGTATTCCTTATGCCTATGAGAAACCAATGTAGTTTCTAAATAATGCAAGCTTTACCTAAATGAACACATTTTATTTTCATTTAATTCCGCTATTCCTGAGCTTTTGTGCTATCACTCCCACGTTCCATTACACAAACCGATTTGCAAAAGCAGGGTGTGTCGGCGCACCTAAACTATACGAATCGCGTGGATTCGCTCGCTCCGTCACCTGTTATAATAAACAGGGCATTAGTTGTGCATATCCGCCGTCCGCTATGACGAGTAGGGCAGCCATGAGTTTTAGGAAATTCGGCAAAAAGGATTTCCAGGTCTCTATAATTTAGAGTCGCCATCATCAACAGACCACTTTAATATCAAATATCAGATGGATTACGAGTAGGCGCACACCGTTGATTTTTAGTTGGCCGATAGTTGTGCCCGATTTTAATTTGTATGAAGAATCGGCAAAATCGAATCGGCGTAGTGTGCGCACTCCCATACATGCCCATACTGATCAACTGCCCGACTAAACTATCGGCCGACGAAAAATCAACGGTGTGTGCCTACTCTAAAGAATATCTATTATTACCAAGACACACGCTCAAATAAACCTGATTACTACCTTTAATGGTATAGAATTAATGTGGAAATCCTTAGAGAATGCTACATGTAGGATTGTAGGTACATACCTATTTGACGATTCGTAACATACTATTATTACCTAAAACTTTTGTCCAGTATTTACCCGGGTTATGTTTTTAGTATGACTATTAATTATTTAATTATTAATTAAGAGTAATATTATATTATTAATATTTTATCTGCACTATGTTCAAACTGATGGACACCCTACTCGTGTCTAGGTGATGAATACAATAGCTGCAATGAGGTGCGCTTTTGCTTGCAACATAAATTGTACAAGCGAAGCGCTTTAAGACCAGTTTATTATACAAATTCTTATGAAGCTTTTACTTTGTTTAAAATACAAAAATAAAGTAAATATTTTAACTATGTCTTAGCAAAATATAGAGTAGGTAAAGGAATGATGATAGCTAGTTTTAAAGTTAGCATACGCTAATGCTCATTTTTGTGTGAAGCACGATTTTCCATGTTGCGTCAAAAAGTTTTAAGTCATTACATTATACCTATTACTTACTATGCTATCTAATTTTGAAGGGCTTAACCTAGCTATTTCGGATCGGCTTGACCCCTTGGCGCTGCGTAGAGATGTATCCTCACTGTGCATCTTCTATCGCATGTATCACGGGGAGTGCTCCGAAGAATTATCCGGACTTATTCCTGACGCCACTTTTCGCCACCGATCTACCCGACAGCACTTCCACCCCCATCACTTAGATGGTTGGCAGTCCACAACAATACGTTTTTCTAGAAACTTCCTGCCCCGTACAACCAAACTGTGGAATGGACTGTAGTCTGCGGTGTTTCCGGACGGATACGACCTGCAAGCTTTCAAGAGGAGAGCGTATCTTTATCTTAAAGGCCGGCAACGCACCTGTAACGCCCCTGGGTCTGCGGGTGTCTATGGGCGACGATATCACTTACCATCAGGTGATCCGTCTGCTTGTTTGCCTCCTATCACATAAAAAAAAAGCTATTTTATTTTAGCACCTATTTTGAACCTAATGTCATCTAATAGAACATAATGAAGAGGTATGTGCTGTGGGTACAATGCTAAATGACGGCAACACCACGATCAATACTATCGTCATTATACGTCTTTAGCACCAACTCGAATGATCTCATCACTTTATAATATTATAATGAATTACCTATTCACTTATTCAATCTAGATCTATGTGGACTCAACCTATATAAATAAGCTTACTCTCCCTGCAATAAACGTCTTTTTTCGCTTCACTGCCGCTGCAATCGCTGAGTTGCGCCTTGCACTTTGCAAACAAATGATGCCCCACTGATAGCTGCATTAGAATGAGTTGCAGTCTAAAGCAGTACCTACCTAAGTGCTACAGCGGAAGTGAACGCTATAACGGAAGTAATGGCTTCACCCGATGCAAAGCTTCCGGTTTGTAAAACAATTTGGGTCGACAACCTCGTTGCAGGTAAACGTTTTGCTGAAAAATGGGCGATAAGAAGGTAGTTCCAGACATTTTTATTATAAATATGGTTGGAGTATTCGTGAATTGTTATCGGGACTAGAAAGAAAGTGGTCGGGAGATGGCAAAAAAGTAAGTTTCAATTTTGATGAGGAGATTAGGACAGCACTCTTAAGTCCTTTTAAAATAATATTTCTTTACATAAGATGTCAAACGCAGCGTGGGACGTCCACCTACAAGGTGGACCGACGACATCGTAAAGGTAGCAGGGAAGCGCTGGACGCAGGCCGCTACCAACCGGGTAACATGGAAAGCATTGGGGGAGGCCTATGTTCAGCAGTGGACGTCCTGTGGCTGAAATGATGATGAGATGTCAAAGCTTTTAAGTTACATTGTATTCCTTCGTCATAGACGTTAATTTCTGTTTGACTGGTTTTTTGTTTCCTACTCGGATTAGCCTCGGAAAACCTTTTTTGAAAGTAAGAAAAATAAGGAGTTTTGCGTTGGTATTGAATACAATACCTACTTATAGATTTTGATTTATTTTTTATTTTATTTTTTTTATTCAGAAAACCACAGCTCTTTATAATAATAATACAAACAGGTATTTTTGTTCTTACAGCCAATAATGGATTCTATATATTAATACAATCTCGTAAAAAACAGTCAAAGGGGATTATGATTGATTATGATTTTTTTTCGTGAAGCGTGGAGATTATGGCAAAACCCTCCACTATAGTGGAGGAGGCTCATAGTCCAGCAGTGGACTGTAAAGGGCTGTTGATGATGATGATGATGATTTTTTTTATTATTTCATAAATTACATTCCATACACTATTTTTAAGCCCGATTCTAATTTGTATGAAGAATCGGCCGATACCAAATCGGTGTAATGTGCGCACTTCCATATCTCCGTGCTGAACTATCGACCGACAAAAATCGGTGGTCTGCGCCTAGGCTAAACAATTAATCATTACAATTTTTAAAAAAACGATACCTATGTATAAACTATTTGTGAAAACTATTTTGGCAAATGTGAAGTATAATTGGTAACTCTATATGTGTTATAGAATGCTGTTTGTTTTCCTAACAATAAAATAAAATAAAAATATAATGATACATTCGTATTAACCTATTGGGACATGCTCTCAAGATGATTCCACTTAGCATATCTACAAAACTTAAAAGCTATTTAAAAGAATCCACCCATTCCTCTCCACCCTTTGGCGAGCTTTTTTACCGCGCTTCACTCGCAGCCGACCGCGAATAAAGCTTCCATCGCCTCAAAGCTAAGTGAATTAAGCCACCACTTCCAGCTTATGGGCCGCTCCGTCTTCACTTAAAGGACGATTAAAAATGCACCTACCCTTTACCTTGCGGTATTTACATGGCCCGATTTTTTTCTCACTATTTGGTAGGTATATTATATTCGCAAAGCGTTACATATATTTTTTTACCAATGTTTATTGCCGCTTGTTAGACATTATTCACATTTTTGTGTGATGTGTTATATTAATTATATTACTCGTATATTCTTCTATTTGCCCAAGTACTTTTTCATTACAATGGATAAATTGACTTCAGCTTTTTTTATGCATAACAGGCAGTTAATTGACCACAATCGCACGGTGTTAAGTGGGATGCAGTCTAGAATGGTACATATCTGCCCTGTAAGTGCCTATTCACTCTCGCCTTGAAAATGCCCGGATTATACTCGTAGTGTTCAGGAAATACAGCAGCAGGCAGCGAATTCCAGAATTATTTTTCCTAATGAGCTGTTTAGAATAGAGACAAAGATTTTGAGTTGACTTTATGTAATGTTGCTTCTGCATCATCATTTAAGACCAAATAATCACAAAATGTAGCTCAAAATTTCTTAAAGTCGCAACTGCATATACGAGTACTTACGAATAGTTACGAATAATTAGTCCCTGCCAATAGAAACTGGAAATATTGTAAATACACAAAATTTACAACATTTGTCAGATTCTATTAACATGGACTCTACTTCTACAAAATTAAACGTTTTGTTCAAAGTCGCCCCATGTAAACGCCCCCAGGTAGTCAGGTGTGAAATGAGTAGAGTGCCTGCAACTGCTATCTGTAACGAGTTAATTCTTCTTTGTAGATGGCACCTTTAGAAGTTTAATTGGTAGCTAATTGATCTTAATGTGTCGGTTTTGGAGTTGGCGGCGTGAGATACTCTTTCATGTATTAATTAGGGAGGAAAGTGCTGTTTGCGAGGTGTAATAGATATTACGAAACAAAGTAATTTTAAACTAGTATACAAAAGTAATGTTATTTTCTTGAATGAAATGGTATTAAAATCATTTTGAAATTTTTTAATACATTTAAAAAACTTAAGGGAACTATAGTGGGTAGATACACCTATACCCATACATTTTGTAAAATGTAGTGCACGAGGGACTTTTGATAAGGCACACCAGTGCTTACGATCCTTTCCGATGGACTGAAGACCTTATCAATAAGTTTTGTGAATAATAAATAATGTAGACATATGTAGGTACCTGGATTAGATATTTTACCTA